ATGAATTACGTGAGTACATCAATTAATTTGATTGTGTTTACATTGTTTATGCTTTTTTATGATTTAATGGCACTGTCAGCCTGTGCACTGCTAATTGATTAATTTGTTTGCCAGACATGTGCCCTGAGCCATGTTGAAAGATTGTTTGTTTCAATGATTTTTTTACAGCCTGTTTTATTGTGATTAGTACTCATATCTTTGTTCATTTATATCATTGTTCCTTTTGTGTTGATTGATCACTGTCACCAATTGTATTATTTCTTTATCTCCTTATGCAACAACACACAAACAATGCATTGATCCAAAATCAACAGGCATGATGCAATAAATTAAGACTGGTGTTGGAAAAAAACTAGTTTTCTTCCTGCCTCATTCATTGTTCCATATCATTTGACATTTTCTGACTCTATTGTAAAGTGTCACCAAAAATGCCTAATTCTGCTTTTCTATCTAGTGGACAACAGTGCTATTACAGCTAACTTATACAGTATGCCATGAATCTAGCATGATTTACCATAGTCAGGGATGTAGTGGAGGCTAAATGCACATAAACGCCGTTTACGCACCTCCCAATATTCGGAAATAGCGTTTACCCACCTCCAAAGTGCATTTATCCACCTCTCAATTGCGTTTATCCACCTCTAAATATCCTGCATGTGGTTCCTAAGACATTTTAAATTAAGCTTGTGTCGTTTTAGTTATATATTGTTCATTATTAGTTCATAGGTTGTTAAACCTAAGACGAACTCTTTCATAATGCGCTGCATTACTGTGTTGTTGACTATTACTGACGGTAAGGTTGCACTGTTGACCCTCGCGCAGCCTCTCGAGCAGAAATCTACACAAATGAGCGCAGAACACACTCAGACCCCATTTACACCTGGTATTAAAATGCGATCTGTATCCAGATAAGTTATCCGGATAATAAAAAACGCATGTTAATGCAAGGTGTAAACGCGTTGTGATCGGATCGCGATTGGATCTGCCTGACCACATCTGCAGGTAGTCTGGCTCGCATTGTGTCCGGATCTTTACTAGGTGTAAACGCAATCTGGTTGTTAACCACATATGTATATTTTACTCCTCCCAAAAAGGCAAAAAAATAAACGAGTGAGCTTGTTATATAGGCTATATATGTCATGTTATTGTCAGATATGACGGCGCTACTGCGACACGGATCATCACCATCACCGCAGATGAGCAGCTGAGCGTCTATTCATCGAGCCAACGTGCAAACATCGCAAATAAAAGTGAAAGTAACTCACAGACGCTTAACACACAATCATCTTCAAGTAAAGAAACGAAATTATCTTACCAGCGCTGTTGCCACTCTTTTATTGATGTTGCTTTTGGTGGCGTGCAATCCATTAAATCTGCATACGCGGGAGTTTAGGATCGGATTTATATCCGTTTTGCAAAAACACATTTATGTGGCCAGGTGTAAATGGAATCGGTACTTATTATCCGGATAACTTATCTGGATATAGATCGCATTTTAATACCAGGTGTAAATGGGGTCTCTTATTTTTCCTGAACACCATCACGATTGAAAATGTGACATTGATTTCCTACAACAGTTCAATAAACAGTAAAAAATTAAATCACTTACATTTTAGATGCTATATTGGCTGTTTTTGTTCTGTTTCAGCAGCGAAAATAGTTCCAAACAATAATCACAGCAGAACCACGGCACATGTCACAGGAACACTCGACGTGTTTACTGAATGATTCAGCATTTTGAACGAATCGATTGAGTCAAAGATTCAAAGACCCATTCAAAAACATCGGTCTCATTCTTGAATGATCAGCCGTTTGAACGAATCGTTTGAATGAATGAATCAATGACTCACTCATTAAGACGGTCGCCTGCCACCACCTACTGGCGGTTTAGTGTTAAATGTTTAAAAGTAGTATCATTCTTTCCCAGTTTCTTATGTAAATTTAAATAAATGTCATAACATTATTTTATGCAATTGTGATTTTTTAGTGTAAATGATTTAATTTGATCAGCCCCTAGGGTAATAGCCCATAGTGTCTTATTATTCGAAATATTTTAATTTATTTATCAAATTTAACACGTCGTGGTCCACCAGAATTTATAGTTTACCCACCTCTTTTTTTACCACTACACCTCTGACCATAGTGTACATTAATTTACCATGTTCTAGCATGATTTATCATTATTTACAGTGATTGGGGCTTGGATGATTGGATTTTAATGTGATTCTAGGAATATAGTATAGCTATTTACCACGTTAATAGCAATTATGTGAAGATTCAGAACAACTGAAGTGATAAACTTTGAAAAAAAAAATGATTGTGTTCAATATTTGACTAAATGTGATTGCAAATGTTAAAATAGATCATTAATAAAGTCATAATATTAATTATAGTTGAGTTGTGAGACACTTACTATTTTGAACAGCAGAGGGGAGTAAAACACCACTTATTGGCTTAATAGACCATCATTTTGATATCATTTCACCTTTTTTAACTGTTATTTAGGCATATTTTGTCAGATCTGTCTGAAAATGTTCATGATTATTTAATGTCACGTGTTCTGACTTGTTTATTGAAGAAATCAACGCTTTCAGGGACACTGAAAGTGTAGTAATAGATGGCTTCAACACAGTACATGTTGAAGCCATCCTATTATAGCCATCCACATGAAGTAGTTCAACTTTTTCTTATAATTATTGATCTAGAGAGTCCAGAGAATTGTACTGCACTGGTTTTAACATTATGATATGATCAGAGATGTACACACACACACACACACACACACACACACACCTTTGGGATATTTCTTTGTAATCTAATGTTATAAAACTGTTAAAAACAGTGACAACAGTGGTAGGTATTCATATCATTTATCTACAACTGAATGAGTGTGTGTAGATTTTAATTCAATATGACAGTTGTCATAGTACTTTTTGACTAAATGTGATTGTAAATGTTAAATTAGTGAATTGATAGTCATAATATGAATTATATATGACAACTTACTATTTTGAACAGCAGGTGGCAGTAAAACTCCACTTATTGGCTTAACAGACCATCATTTTCACCTTTTTAACTGTTATTTAGGCATATTTTGTCCGATCTGTCTGAAAATGTTCATGATTATTTAATGTCACGTGTTCTGACTTGTTTATTGAAGAGATCAACGCTTTCAGGGACACTGAAAGTTAATAGATGGCTTCAACACACTAAATGTTGAAGCCATCCTATTATAGTCATCCACATGACGTAGTTCAACTTTTTGTTATAATTATTGATCTAGAGAGTCCAGAGAATTGTACTGCACTGGTTTTAACATTATGATATGATCAGAGATGGAAAACACCATTTACAGCCAATACTGGCAATTTACCATTGGAAATGCATGGTTTTAAAGCTTTTTAACAGTTATAGCGCCACCTATGGTCCGATCTCCATGAAACTGTGCATGCTTCTTCAGCATGTTATGACACATATGCTCATCAATTTTTGTAAAGTTCTGAGTTTTCCTTTAGGATTTACAGGCTTTTGGGGGCTTTTTGTCACGCCCTTTTGTAAATGACCCTGTTATAGCAAGACAAATGACAAAGTTGAACTTTTTTTGGATAATTATTAATCAAGAGAGTCCAAAGAATTATCCTAGACTAGTCTGGTTCCGATCGGGCAAAAAACCAGGGACTAGTTCGCAAAAGTAGGTTTTTAACATATTCGTGAATATTTAACGAACGAATTGATTGACAGCAATGGTTCTTGAGGCAAAGTTGTTCATCATGAGGAGATCTATCAATTGATATACATTTTGTGGGGGTGTGTGCAACACCACGTGATTACAGAGCAATAAAACTCGTTAGCGCCAACTAGTGGCCGATTTCTTTCAAAATTCTTACAGACCTCTAGGGCCATGAGTCGAACATTCCCAACGAGTTTCGTTCCGATCGGCCTTCATTAACCTTGTTTCATAGATGCTCAAACTTCATTGGCCGATGGCGGCCATGTTTTTTGAGATACACCAATGTCCTCATAGACTTACATGAGGCCTTGGACCAAGACACTGCATACCAATTTTCAAGTCAATCGGACTGACGGTCAGGTGTATATCTGTTTTTTTCATTTTATAGCGCCACCTAGTGTTCAATCGTCGCGATTTTTTTACTGTCACCTCAAATTGAACTCTTACACATGTGTACCGAGTTTGGTGAAGATATCTCATTTACTTCTCGAGCTATAGCCATTTTAGTAAAATAGGCTCCTCCCACAACGTTTATTTTGCTTCCCCTAGCGACCGGAACGAGAAATTTCAACATTTTTTTGATAATTATTGATCTTCAGACTCCAGAGAACCTTTCTGCACTGGTTTGGTTCCGATCGGGCAAAAATCCAGGGACTAGTTCGCAAAAGTAGTTTTTCGACAAAATTCAAAATGGCGGAAAATCTATCATGACGGAAATGAAATCGGAGATATACGTTTTTTTCGTCAGGTGACCAGCTTTCCAACGATATAAGACACTTGAGTGTACGACTTACGGTCTAGGAGTTATGAGCAGTTTCGCGCAATTGGTCGCTATAGCGCCACCTATGGGCCAATCGGGCTCATAATTTGATAACCTCTCCTCGATTTTTGTACTACCATCTGACAAAGTTTCAGAGCTCCAGCACTTACGGTTTGGTCTGCACGATGCGTTTTAGGGGAGAATAATAATAATAATAAAAATCAGTACAAAAACAATAGGGTTTCAGCACTTCGTGCTTGAACCCCTAATAAAAATCAATACAATTACAATAGGGTTTCAGCACTTCGTGCTTGAACCCCTAAAAATCAATACAATTACAATAGGGTTTCAGCACTTCGTGCTTGAACCCCTAATAATAAAAATCAATACAATTACAATAGGGTTTCAGCACTTCGTGCTTGAACCCCTAAAAATCAATACAATTACAATAGGGTTTCAGCACTTCGTGCTTGAACCCCTAATAAATAAAATGTTCTTTTCCAATCTTACCTGTAGTGGTAGAGGAGGCGTAACAGGTGATGGCAAGCTGCGAGCTGGTGATTGGTTTTGCCTGTGAGGGGGCGGAGACTGGGGAGGCTGGGCTGAGCTATGATTAGAGGTGGTACAGGTGGAGGCGGAGCCCGGAGAAGGTCCAGACGCTTGTGATTGGATCGGAGGAGTGAGCTCATGATGGCTGGGTGGCTGGAGATGCGTTGGGCCACAGAGATGTTGGTGCTGCTCCCGTTCTCGTTGTTGTTGTTCTCTTTCACGCTGTTCTCTTTCTCGCTCTCGCTCTCTCTGTTGTTGTTGTTGCTGCTGCTGTTGATGATGATGATGCTGTTGCTGGTGATGTTGGAGCTGTTGGAGCTGTTGGAGATGCTGGAGCTGAGAGTTTAGGGATGAGGTAGCTGTGATGAGAGAAAGAGGAAGAAAGATGTTGATTTTTTTTTTCATGATCTAAGCCAATTATTTATAATATATCTATATATATATTTTTTTTAAAAGCCAATTCAAGCTGGTTTATTTTAAGCTGCCAATTTAACAACAAGGGATTTTGGCTGTACAGCAGATTTACAAGATCTAGAAGAAAATAGTGTCATAGGCCAGCTTAAGTAAGTTCAGTGATGGTTGTAAAAAAGTTAATTTATGTACACAGACGCTCTAGGGAAAACAGTGTTGTCAACGTCCAGCTTAGTTCTCATATAATTGGGTCAATGCAGGGAGATCAAATAATATTGGATATTAAGTGTCCCCAACTAAGCAAGCCAAAAGCCAAAGGAAACAGTAACAGGTTTGTTTTTGTGGCTTGAATAAATATGCTTCATACAGTTAAGAGAATAAATATAGATCACCATTTCTCTTTCCATTTGCGCTGTGTTTTCAAATGCCTTACTTTAAACTCATTGACACCACTTTGTTCATTCTTGACTTTACGTGAACTCTTGCTTGTATGGTGCTTAGATTTACTGTTTTGGACTGCCGCATTGAACTTGAGAACGTGAGGACAGAATGATGTGTCTGGTGTGTGATAAGCCTGACTGTGAGATGCACTAGGAGACAATTAAGAGGCCTTTTTTCCCAAACCGTTCTCATAAATGTTGCATGTCCAAGACATTTGGGCAAAAAAGTGCCCTAGCATCTTTATTGCTTTGCTCAACAATGTAATAATACAATGACTCAGAATTAGATTTAATAATAACTTAATTTAAATCTAAGCTGTGACTCTGAAAATAGGGTTTGTTTCTGATATTTTTATCTAGGCTAGAAGTTAAGGTCAGTTGCATAAATATAGCCATTGTACTAAGACTGTGTCTTAAGAACTAGTACAACCACCTAGCATGTGACGCAATCAGTCTTACTTTTTGTTTCAAATTAGACCAATCTACGTTTTTAAGTAACAAACAGTCTTAAAGGGGGGGATAAAAAGATGACTAACTTGTACGATTTGTTTTAACAGTATATGTAACCTAACCCTAAATGGCAAGGAACTTAAAGATTTAGTAGCTAAAATAGCTGGTGAGTGAAAAGGTTTCATTTCTTTACTTTATTTTATTTTTTTTGAAAGATACAGTAGAGAAAAATGATAACAAGAAAATGTCTCAGGTTCCACACTGCTTTATTGCATTGACACTATGGGAACCTCCATACCAATTCCGCCAAATCCTGCAACAAGCACAAAACACATTTCAGCCCAAATCAAACTTGGACCAACCCTGAAGTATGCGAGATCCTGGGGCTGAATCTGCATCTAGACTGTAAAACCTAAATGTGTCCAGAGAGGACCAACCTGTCGCAGCACATACATCATGCAATGACGCACCCCAAGCAAGAATTTTGGAGTATGCCATACTCCTAGTGAAGTGAGCCCTAACCCCTAGAGGCCATTCCACATATGCCTCATAGGAGAAAGCATACGTAATCCAATGCGAAATACGTTGCTTGGTGACTGCAATACCTCTATTGCGACCACCAAGGCATCACTTGCCTGAGCGGTGGACAGAGATCCTCAAGGCATGGACCAGACATAACAGATGCAAGCTTTCCCACTCCAGCATCTCATGAGGAAGAGGAAAGAAAGCCTGCAAAATAACTGGCTGACCAGCCGCAGAAGGAATAAAAGTTGTGCTACTCTTTTATAGTGACGTCAAGGCTAGAAATAAAGCTACTTTGCAAGTAATAGAGGAGGTCAGGAGGATGTCTACCCACCAAAGCTCCATTACAAAGTAGTTAGCAGAGAGAGTGGCCACATACAACTTTAAAGTAGAAGGAGCCAGCCCCTTTGAGAGACGTTCTTGAAGGAACTTCTGTAAGGAGCCGACGGTGCTTTTAACTTGGTTCACATTATATTGCTGACACTAAGATACAAAGAATTGGCATTTCAGGCCATACAGCTTTCCTCAAAGAATGAGCTGTAGAGTTTTGAATTGTATTAGCAACGTCAGCCGAGAGACCAGAATCTATGAGCTGAAGTATCCAGATATCTGGTCAGGGATGAAATATCATCTACTGTCCTTAAGATCCATCTGGACTGGAATCTTCAATGGGAGACCATCCAGGAGAGACACTAGATACACAGAAGGTGAACTCGATCTTGGTGAACCCTTGCTAGAACTCCTAGGATCAGAGTTTTCAGGAGAAAAGAGTACAGGCACAGATTTGGCCATGCCTGCACCATAGCATCCACCATAGCATCCAACCCCAGAAGAGCTGTAGGTGTGAGGGCAAACCAGAAGGGGCAGGGGGTTGTCTCCTCAGAGGCAAACAGATCCACTTCCGCTCTGCTATACCTCCTCCACATGGACTACAGTAATTATGGATGGAGTTGAGCCTGGTTAGTACCTGAATGGGAGACCTCCAGGGAAAACTAGGTTGCTGCTGTAAGAGGTGTTAGTGAGGCCAGCGGGGGTGTGCTCGCCCTGTGGTCTATGGGTCCTAACGCCCCAGTATAGTGACAGGGACACTATACTGTAACAAGCACCGTCCTTTGAATAAGGACGTTAAACCGAGGTTCTGACTCTCTGTGGTCATTAAAAATCCCATGTCACTTCTCATAAAGAGTAGGAGTGGAACCCCAATGTCCATACCAATGTCCCTTCATTGGCCAGGGCCAATTATGGCCTTCTAATAATCCCCTTCCATTGAATTGGGCCCATCACTCTCCACCTACAGCTGGTGTGTGGTGAGCGCACTGGTGCAGTTGTACTGTTGTACTGTGGCTGTGGTGGTTGAGGGGATATCCCCTGATACAATTGTAAAGCACTTTGGGTGTACAGAAGTACATATGAAAGTCCTATATAAATGCCTCATTTATTCATTCATTTGTATGCCCTGTAATGTAAACTACTCTCAAAGATAGAAATTAGATTTCTGCATAGAGCAGGGTCTACTGCACCTGTTTGAAAAGGGGATGCGAACGACATTAGGCAAAAGTAGCCACACTGCCACAAAGTCTGACAAAGAGATAACTTTTTTTGATAGAATTGGCTTGTTGGCAGGGAACTGCCAAACCAACTAAAAGTAGGATTCCTTACTGATTCAGGCCAGAAGGCAAAATCAGGCAATCAAGGAGTAAGGACTCATCTCTTTCTATGATGCCTGTTGATCCACAGATCCATCCATCTCTTCGTGGCAACCATGGCAGCAATAGCGCAATGATAGCCTGGCCCCCATTTGCTTGGTTGCATGAAGGGCTAAAGCTGTGGCATGCTGTAGTTTTTCTAACGCCTGAGGCCCTAATCCCACACCATGATCCTAATCTCTTCATTGCCCCATACCCCTGGTCACGCATCTTGACCACTATGGTATATGTGGCCGTGGCTTGGTTATATACTCAAGTGGAATATGGGTTCCTCTACAATCAGGGTAGAACTGGAGATGGCAGTGGGAAGGCTGCTCATGTGTGGATGTGAGAAAGCGGTCATCCAATTTTGTACTTACCACTTGCCTCTCATCTGGCCAATCCAGTTTTAATTTGGCCACAGCAAAAGTTACCACCTCAAGCAACTCCTCAAATGTGGCAGACTGCGGAATCTGCTCTGCCGAAGAACCCGCCAGCTTATCTACATCCAACCCCTCATAATCAGCCGCAGATAGCATGAGTTCCTCGTTCTGTTCTGAAGAATTCGCAAAGCAAGCTTCAAGATCTAGAACCTCCGCTGACTCAAGCTGCGAACCACATAACCAAAGCCGCGACACTGCCTCGACAGCAACGGGACCCGAACCATTAAGCACAGGAGCTCGGTCCTTTTCCCGTAAGGAGAGGGCCAAATGGTATCGTAGCTTGTGGATGTTGAAGAGATTGCAGTGCTCACAGTCAGCCCCCTCAAGGACTGAACTTATATGTTCCTCACCTAAACACATAACTCACATTGGGTGTGTATCGTCCACCATAATAAAGCGGATGAACAGTCACACATTCTGGGTAACGCTTCCTTTTACAGTCCAGTTACCCATGTAAATACTATGTACTTATTTTGGTAACTACAATTACTGGGTAATAACTAGTACTAACCCTGAACCTACCATGTACTGTACTTACCTTATATTAGCCAGTACTTTCTAGGTAAGTACACTGTAAGTACACTGTAAGTACTGTACTGTAAAAGGAAGCGTTACCATTTACTGTTTCTCAACCCTGCCATGTCAAAAGACTATTTCCACACACATTTGAAAATTGAGAAGCCTAGACACCTGCTTAAACATACAGCTTCTGAAGACAAAGCAGCTGATGAGATGTATTTCAGGTTTATATTTTTGGACATATATGTTATGTCCATAAAGCTTGACCAATAGAATGGCTCGTTTTGACACGTGTTTCAGACACTGGTTTACACGGATGTGTTCCCATAGCACCAATGGCTTGCATGACGCAGCATCAAAGTTCGTTTAGCAAGGGAACAGTTCTTTTTTCAGTGAAAAGAAAATACATTTTCAGTACAAAAATGACTAAAGAAGGAATGTTTCTTGGGTATATTTTTCCTCTGAATAAATAGAACAGAATCCATGTGTACTGGAAACTCTGAATGTCAGAGCTTTTATTTTTGTGATACATGAAGAGAAGCATTTCACTGTAATTCGCATGAATTCATTAGACAATCTTTGTAAGAAAGCAATAGAGCCTAATCTCCGCAGAGTGACTCACCAGACACTCTGCTGGGATCGGAGCAACAACCTTACTCAAATAAAAAAAAAAACCCTATACACTGACCTGGAACTCATTTAGTCCATGACAGAACAAGATGTCCTAGGTTAGACTCTTAAAGCCTCTTCCATTCACATCTTCATGCCAAAATCAACCTTATTCCTGCACAGACTGAAGCATGACTCGTATACCAGAAAGTGTCAACTCAAATCATCCATATACCTTATGAAAGAAAACATTGAAAAACAGAATGGCAACATATCAGAA